GTCAATTCATAAGTTTGGAGGGATCCTACGAGTTCTTCTACCTTAACGTTGTCTAGGTCCTTACTTTCTTCAATTGCAGCTACCTCTAAACCTTTCAGGTAGGGATCTAAGAACCTTACAAAATATTTTTGACTCGGGGATCCTTTCGCCTAGATTAAAACTAGAGTTCACAATATCGTTCAACTTAGGATAGAAATCATCAAATCTCTTATCATCATTCATCCCAAGTTCTTCAAATCTAGACGTCAAAATTTGCAATTTGGAGTTTTTCACAATTTTAGTACCCTCATGGGTTGTCTCCAAAATGTCCCAAACTTCCTTAACTATCTCACACATAGACACTCTCCTAAATTTCTCAAGAGACACAACCATAAACCTTTACTATTCCAACTACATTCATCCAAGTTTGTTTTGGTCCACAAAGAAATATCCGTGGGTGTAACTACTCCTGTAATCGTTGTTGTAGGCGGAGTCCACCCATTTTGAACATAAATTCATACATGTTCATCCAACGCCTTAAGAAAAGCTCTTATTCGAACTTTCTAATAAGCATAATTACTGCCATCAAAATATGACGGAACGGACAAAGAACTAATCATCTAGACTAAATCGAATAAGGGTCAGGAAGCGAAATTGGGCTTTGATAGCAATTGAAAAATGCAAGATTCGACCCAACTACACCTAGATGGGGTGATTAGGTGTAACTTTAATTAACAAGCAACAAGTCACAAGTTAATTATGTTTAGGTGATTAGTCAAACAATTCAATTAGTCCTATCTTTGAATGTCATAGTAATATCAAAAACAATATGGACAACAGTAATCAACACCAGAATTGTTCACAGAGAAACCTAACGCTGGAAAAACTTCGGGCACTTTGCCAGTCAAAGATCCAATGTAAACTTTTGATAAACTTACAGACTACCAGCAAATTTGACGACACAAGCTTTCTGATCTCCTGTCTGAAGTTTGAAGCGGCCCTCCTATAATGTGCACTAACACCAATTTTGACTCTTCTTTGTAAAGCAGTCCTCGTAGAATGAGCACACGAACTCCAATCCTGACTCTTTACGTAGTTTATTTCCTATAGGTCTTCCCAAGAACTCCTCGTTCTTCAACTTATTCCTTGATCTTTAAAGTAGGAACGTTGAAGACACAATCTTTCTTACAGACCCAAGCGAAGAACGTTGTTTGGTGTTTGACTTGATGGATTTGATGTTTTCAATATGATGAGCGCATATATAATTGAAGGATTGAACTTTTGATCTTGTGTAGGATGAATTCACTCTGGAAAAACAGTGTGTTCAATCTCACTAGGTAGAATATACGGCGCCTCTATTTATAAGTTGGACAGTTTAAGAAAATTGGGCTAAGTAAAAGTCTCGAAAATTGAAATTAGGTTTGGGTGATATAATAAGTTGCTTGAGCGAGAAGCACATTTTACTCGAGCGAAGGGTTTGTTGCTTGAGCGACAGTTGAGCGAAGGTCGAGTTAGGATGTTCCTGCTTCATCCGCTCAAGCATGACTCCGGCAAGCAGCTAACGAAAAATCGGCGTGAATCCTTCTTGTTCCAAACATGAAATTCCAAATCCTAAGCTAACCTACCAATTATGAAACTTTACAATTTAGTCCCTGAACTTTTATAATCGTTCAAGTTGGTCATTTTGTTCACATAATCGCCAATTATAATATATAAACCTAACAACTTGTAAGTCAGTTGTTCCTAACTCTGCTACTTTAATAGTGGTTGCTCTAGGAATATAATTGGAAGTCGTTCTATTCTGGCTAACTACACGAGTCATACAAGCAGATTAGTTACCTTTGGAATGGAGATCAAAGCAAAATTGAATGTATAGATACTATGGTGATTGACGGAATCTCAATCTTAAATGATGTTTTGTTTGTTGTGGGCTTAAAAGTTAATTTGTTTAGTGTAAGCCAATTGTGTGATGATGATCTTATGGTTAAGTTCACAATAAAATCATGCAAAATCTTAAAACATGATGGTAATTGTGTCTTGTGTGGTGCTAGGTTCGACGATAATCTACTTGCTTTTTTGTGTGCTTCTAACTGTTATTTTATTCTTAATTTGAATGTTCTTCGATTTTCGGATCAAATGGAGCAAGATCTTGGTGTCTTAAACTTTGTTTACAAGATCCTGTTAAAATAATAATAATAATAATAATAATAATAATAATAATAATAATGTAATTTTTTTCTAGTATAAATTTATAAAAAGCAAGCAATAAAAAATTCAGATTAAAACTAAAATTAATTAAATAAAATAATCCCCCGCAACGATGCAAAAAACTTGATTGTTTGATTTTTCTCAAGTGGTATTTCAAACAAGTAACCAAATGATAAATAGATTTCGTTTCCATGATGACTATTTACTTAATCTAGTATCAATCAATGTAACTCCAATCGAATAGCCACGTGTGTTTGAGTGATTTATACTAATTAACCTAATTATCCTAGTGAGCAAATTATGAAGCTTTTGTAAATTTAGAGTGGATGATAACTAAGACCTTGAATCCCCTTTATTAATTTGTTTTAGTGCAATTCAATAACATGATAATATGTAGACAGTCTTGTCGAATTTTGAATAAATTGAAAGGAAGAAAATGAATCTTGCTATCTTAAACCTCTTCAATGGTTTCGTGATGAATCTCTAATTGTTTCATTTCTTCTTTGTCCAAGGATCAATGTTCACACTTCAATTTTATGGAAATCTTGTAATTGCCCTTTAATTCTCACAATAACAACCAAATTTGCTTCTCTTTAATCGATAATAATTGATGAATAATGGTGTATGAGAGATGTCTTCAATGACTGCTCATGTTTTGTATATATGGAGGGTGAAATCAGGTAAAAAAATCACGTTCAAATTGGGTTCCAAAAGAAAGTCAATCAAATAAGGAAAATTGCTTTTGCGTCGCGCATGATTGTCTCTACGCGGTAGTCAATATTTTTACCATAATTTTCTCTTCTGATATCTGATTGAGGCGATTCAAATTGCATTGAAAAACTAATTCAAATGGCTAAATTTTGACTGGAATAGAATATTTCTAATTCAAATGTTTAATATGCCAAATATGGGTTTCAATCTCCGACTGAGAATCTGGATTGCTGATAATACATTCATATATTTCAATGCTTCATTTCTTTGACTTCTAATTACATCTAATCGATCCCCTATGATCTCTAACAAATGTATTGAAGTCCAAATGGACTATTGAGCATTTACAACTTAATCCCTGAACTGTTGATTCTTTCCTTTTTCGTTGATTATCGCTCATTTCTTATAATTTCACTTTCAATTATTGAGTTTCACCTAACAAACTAATAAATGAAACATACAAGAAATTAGATCATAATTAATCAAAAGAACTCCTGGATATTAATATTTAAAGGCCTATAAGTGTATAAAATATACTTAAAAGTGGATCAAATGCATTTCGAGTAAAATTGTCAGGTCAACAGGCCATTTGCCACAATTCCTCGTGATAAAACAGATGCCACAATAATAAAATACGAAAAAAGGTAGAAGAGAAAAGAAGGGAAGGGAAGGGAAGGTGTTTGTTGCTCGACCCACTAATTTTGACACCTCTATCTTGATGCCATGAAGCCCCAAATCCGCCACTGCCTGTGGCTTGATTGCTCCACCACATATTGTTCTAGATATAGTTATAAAAACAGTTTCAAAACACCACATGATTCAGTTACATAATTTTTAGTATCCAGTATTTAATAAATTTGTACAATTTCTTCTTCAATCTCGTCGAAATCACTATCGGTTTTAATGTTTGCCATGGATATAGGAATGCCCACAAACTTTTTAATACATCGATGCAAGTAATATATTGGAGAGAAGTGTCGCAAATATTTATGTTTGTTTGTTTGTTTTGCGTATTCTACATAGTAATGACCAGATGTCGGTGCACATATTTATGCATCAAAAGCAAGTTTAATCAAATAATGCCATTCGTTATGATCGACGGTTGAAATGAGATTTTTGTGTTGGGAAAAATGAAAATTTTGTATTTTAATGACTTACATGATAAAGTTTAAAGAGGAAATCGAAAACTAAATTTTTTAATTAAATCTGGTCTTATTAATAATTGAATATGAACTTTAATTAACGAAACTGCCTGTTTTGCTGTAACAATTCTTCTATATAGTTGACTTGTCATGCCAAATTACACATTATAAAATAGTGTGTAATTTCATATTATTTTTAGAACTCCGCATAAATGAATTCCAATTAACATTATCTGAAATCCTATTGACAATCAACGTGGCTTCAAAAAAATAAATTGAACCTTGTGTAGGGATATATTGTATTAAATCAAGTGTTTCCAGGCTCAGTGGTTTGGATAGATTATCCAATCGATGCCCAAAACAAAAGTGAAAATCACCGAGGACGTAGCAACCATATTCTTCATTTATTTTCGTTTATAAGAAACTTAATAGTGTTCCAAGCATTCATACTCACCGTTCACCTATTCCTTCGAGTCAGATATGCTGATTCGAACTTGTTATCCCATCAATACACATCTTCTTAATAAATAAAAAGATACAAAGATGCGTATGGTAAAACAAAAAAATTGTGTAGATATCTTCTTGTTTGTTTGAGAAGAAGTAATGTGATAAAATACATTGGAAAGACAACAAGTTCCGGACAACATAATTAAACTCTCATCCAATACATGGAAGAAGACATTGAATTAGAAGAATCCAGCAAAAAGTCTAAAGTTTGAATATGATTCTAATACTTTATAATGTGATGAGCCAAGAAGAATATAGAAAAAAAAAAAGTTACGATAGAAAGTACGAACTTCATCCCTTTAAAGGTCCATTACAATTCAAAACTATAAAGAACAATACAGAGAATATATACATATACAAGAAGTCATAAAGCTACAATGCACTAAAGCAATTGGACAGACCAAAACCTATAGAATTCGAAAAAGTCGAAGCTGTTTGGGTCTCATAGTCGAATTAAACCCAGCCCTGTTTGTATCTGCGGAATAATTCTTCGGTTTGAGCATTTCTGTATGCACTGCAAGCAATAAGATAAACCCAAATTAGAACCACAACTGTGATTATAAGGATTATGTTGGCCTTCCTCCATTCCTGTCTTAGGTTTCCCAATAGACCAGCCTTGCAAGAATTACAGTTATAGCACAGTTGGCTCGGATCGTTGTTCCATATGAAGCAATCTGCGTCCGCTGCTTGATTTGATGGGACGATCCACGATGTGGGACTCGTGTATTGGAACCCACAGATTGTTGCAGGCTTACAGCAACCCGACTGCAATATGCAAAATTTGAAGATATGTTAATAGGAAAGCGAACCAAGTAATAGGAAAATGTGTTGTGCATGCCTGAGGATTGGTTGTGAAATGAACTGTTTGGGCTCACAAAATTTTTGGGCAACCAAAAATGTTAGCACGGTGCCAAAGCTAGCAACCATATGAAAATATCTGTGTCTCGGGGCACAGACAATATGTAGTCCCAATTATTGTAGAGAACTTGCTTTAGGTGCAAAATTTCCAGCAAGCGGAAAACGCTGAAGGGACCACAACTAGTTAGACAACAAACAAGACTACAGGTTGGCTGGATAAATTCATTTTCTTCGAATTCAAATAGTATGGTATAGAATAAAGAACGGGGGAATCCACATGGAACTGTGGCCAAAAAGAATCCAGATTTGTCCAAAATTTGTGTGATAATGCAGTCCTCGACTCTTTAGCTTGAAAGTAATATTAGCTTAATCAGGCAAATTATGAACAAATTGACTGATATGCAACAAAAATTATTGTGGTAGGTCCAAGTCACCTTTCTTTTTATTCATTCAAATGGAAACCATTTTCATTTTATTTAGTACCAGGCATATTCTCTCCCATACAGATTGAGTTTGAACATAAAAATTGATTCAAAAATCACCCTTCAATTCGAAAGTTAAATTTCTTTGTATCAATCCATACTAAATATACGTTCCTTAAAATTTGATGATTAGAATCATTCACAACGTTTAAACGCCTTGATGGCTAAATCTGGATCCCATTGATTCAAGCCCCCTATGAATTCCATCCTAGACTAAAAATGTTGCAATAATCGCTGGATTAGGTTCATGAAATCCTCACCAGAAGTTTCTTTTACAACTTCAATTACAAGTTTACTTTTCCTTGTATTTTCACTTAAAAGTAAAATGCCCAATTATCATCTCAACAACTAAAGATAGAGGAATTTATAAGTCAAAAGAGAATAATGCTACTTTGCCCAAAAGTAGGTGATAGATAAAGTGACAAATAAGAATAATGTTACTTTGCCCAAAAGTAGGTAATAGATAAAGTGACAAATAAGAATAATATTACTTCGCCAAAACGTACATCACACATATAGTGACATAATTAAGTGTTCAAAATTTGATTGGATAAAAAAGTCGACCGTAAATAGTTCAATAATAAATTGTCCTGTCAGATTGTGTATTGTGTTAACCATTATGTCTAAGTAGCATGATCAGTCAAAAGAAGTGTAAAACACATAAAAACTGCGTTTGGAATCATTAAAAAAAGAAAAAAAAAAGGTATATTTACCTCAATTGGAGACAGATGAGCAGCAAAGAAATCAGCAGGAGTTATATACTCCTGAGACAATTTAGGACAAATGGAAGAGTCAGCCAAACACGCCCTTATCTTCCCCCAATAATCAGAGCTTGTAATATGATTTCTCAGCCAAGGGGAGAAACCCTCCAGCCGGTACTCATGGTAAGCCCTACCGGGAACATAGTACATGCCATTCGGGCGCGTGACGACGAAGGCAAGAATCAGTAGAACAAGAAGTAGAACTATGAGAATGGCCATTAACACAAGGTAAACTCCGAGAAGGCCTTCCTTTTTCCTGTAGGCGCCGACAAAGCCCAGTAAGGAAACAAGGAGGACTGATATTCCCATGAAGACCACCGGCCACCGGAGCCAGTGGATACACTCGTTGTCGGGCTTTGATGCGAGCCATATTCCGGCGGTAATTATGGGGATTGAACACATGAATGCTATGAAATTGAGGATTGCTGTTAGGTTGTTGCTCACTGCCATACTGTAATTCAATTTTCACGCACTGTGTGTAGGTGTAGGGAAGGGAATAATGGGTTCGTTAGGTGAGAACACAGAGAAGTGGGAATTTTGTAGCTTAGGCGGTGAAGCGCGTATTTCTACTGTAGGAAAGAATTATTAGACACAATCATTAATAACAGCAAGGATCATTTATAACTGAAGTCTAGGCAAAATTTCAAATTCAATGATGATCATCTCCGAAAATTCTTTAAAGACTCCATCCGTCCATTATACAGGGTGGCTTTCTCATTTTCCTTCTTATTTTTAATTCATTTTTAATCACACATTTTTCAATAAAATAATATTTTCCATCGCATCAATAACTTTTCCTTCTTTTTCAATTACATATTCACCAACATATCACAAAAAAATACATTTTCTCTGTTTTAATGTGCATCACACACATCCATAGTTTAGGCTGATTTTATTTTTAACCCGACTTATTAAAAAAGCTTATTAATGTTAATAATAATGAAAAAGTAATTGTTGTAAATATTTTTTCTAATTTACTTTTATTTAATTATCAACCAGTGGTACTAATATTTAAAATAATGATAATAAATATTATGAATCACTTAAACTCTATTCCATTCGAGAATCGCGTGTATTTATTTGGATGGTTCCAAGAAGTAGGTAAATTAAAATATATACAAATTCAAGATTAAATTGGGAAAATTAGTAATAACTAGGCAAATTAAATAAATATATATTAGTAAACGAACAATACAAACGCATTCTCAATAAAAGAAATATAACTATAATTTGGGACAAGAAAAAAAGGAAAATCAGTCTATATAAATGAGACGGATGCAGTATATGATACTTTATATTTTAAAGAGTCAACTATTAAAATTATATGCTCCAAAACATTCTTTAAATTAGCTTTTTAATTTAAAGAGTGGATTTGACTCTTCAAATTTGGATAGTTAAACTCACTCTTTATAATTTAATGGGTTCAAAATATTTCAATTTTCAATGAAGAAAAATAATATAATAATTTAGAGGAAAGTTGGTGAAAATCAATAATAGGAAAAATAGCACATTAAAGTTCTTAAAACATTTTACTCTTTAAATTTATAAATGATCTCTAAATTATAGAATATATTCCTTAAAAATAAAGAGTTTTTTCTGGAGATACTCTTTACAAATAGAGAGTTTCTTGGAGATACTCTAAATATTTTGTTTTAAAGATTTGGACCTTGTTTGACAACTATTATAAAGAGTTTTTTTTTTCTTTTTTTGAAGGAAAATAAGTTTTGAAATAGTGATTTTTGGAAAATGTGTGGTAATAATAAAAAAGTTTCGAGTTTTGAAGTGTACAATATTTTATTGTAGAAGTGTGTGCTTAAAAATGAGTTAAGAAAAAAGAATTGTGTAAAAATGGTTGTCAAATAGAGGCTAGCATTAACGCCTATATGTGAGCCATTTTGTGTCAAACTTTTAATCAAATTCATGCCGTTACAGGTGTATGACAGTACATGGAACCGAAATTGTTGATTGATGGCTTAAAATTATCAATATGTCCCTTTAGCAAAAAAATTAAGGTAATTCGTACATGGCATCCCCACCTTTCATTATTATTGTACAAAATATTCAAGTCTTTTTTTTTTTTTTTTACATTTTTACTCTTAGGCCCCGTTTGAAACCCGTTTTGAGGAAGAAAATTTTATTTTTACTACAGTATTTGCAGACACCCACTGTCCAAGGCTTAGGTAGTGTCAGACAATCAATTAATGGCCCATATTCCCGTTGGAAAATCTTCTGGTTTTGCCCTCCTATTGTACAAGAAAATTTCCCCAAATACCCTCAACTTTTCACCCTACCCATTTGAAAGGGGAAAAACACACAGTTGCAGAGCACGGCAAATACTTCTCTGGCGCATTTGAAAGGGGAAAAATCAGTAAGTTTCTCACACAAAATTCAGCATGAAGACGCCACAATTTCTTTCTCCACGGCGAAAACAGTAGTGATTTCCACCAGATTGCCTTCCGATTTAGTCGTGAAAGTGGATTTCTCTCTACCCTGCTCTGTTGCCGACTTCGAGCCCAACCCTTCTGAGCCTATACATCCGGCGACGTACACAGCAGTGGCCACCGTCTATCATGGATAACGACTGGACGACGTGGAACTCGACCCCTGATCAGACGGTAAGCCTTTCTTCCTTCTCGTATTTCCGGCGACCTCACTACGCGCATATGCTCTTGCTTCTGTCTAATTCTGTTTAGTGTAATGGAAGAACGTAGATGAGGAAATAGTGTTGGAAACACAACTACTTACTGGACGTGAAAATGTTTATGCAGATGGAATGTTGATTAGATAGGAAATTTTGAATATGTAAATCCAAATTGCACAATTCAAGTAATTATGTAGTTTACATAATTACTTTCACCTGAGAAGCGATCACTTGAGAAGATAAATTTCCGAAGTCGCACGTAAGGCCTAAGGGCATGTGCTGCTAAGATTACTTTTACCCAAATTTATACAAATCCATGGTTTCTCATTCATTATCTTCACTCATATTATTTTTCGTTTCTCATTGTTGAGCATTATCTGAAAGAACCTGAATAGTTCGTCCATCAAACCTGGGACAATAACAGAATCCCATCACATGGAAGCAACTATACGTGCAAATAAATGTTTACTGCATGCAAAGCTCTTCAGAATTAATTTTCAATATGCCTATGATTACTGTCCCCGTGCAAGAATAAGAACATCTAACTGCGTGTTTCCTTTGGCAGTGGTACACAAGTGGGAGCCTTGAGCAGTTGCACTACGTTCCCTCCAATTTGCAGGCACCACATGCCCAAGTTCGTAAGACTGCGAAATGGAACCACTTCGAGCACAAAGCATTCATCGAAACCTGCGAACTCGTTATAGCTGAAGGCCACCGACGAGGCAAGTGTTTTTCCATGAAAGGATGGCATCGTGTAGCCGAAATGTTCAACGCCTCAACGGGAAAGGATTGGACTACCACACAGATGAAGAACTATTGGAATAAACTACGAATGGAACACAAACACCTGTTCGAGTTACTTCGCTGCACTGGAATTGAATACCGCCCGGGTACCGGACGCATTCATGCCCCTGACCATTGGTGGGAATCAAAAATTAAGGTTTCAAATTCTTTCTCTCCTGTTTGCATCCAGCACAATCCTGAACAAAAAAAATTGCTAAGATTCTGCATATACTAAAGTTTGCCAATGTAATTACTAGATCCTTTTCCGTTTGTTGTATGTTCCAGCCTAATTTTAAGTAATTGGATGCCTATGTTTACATCTCAAGATGGTATTCACATATGTCAATTGATGTCCTCTTACAGTTATTTGGCTTCCGTATCTGCAGGAGAACCCAAAGTACGCGAAATATAGGGAACGCAAGGGAAAGATCTCACCGCCGTTTCCGAAATGCACGAGAACGGTTCAATTTCCATCACTCCTCATGCCGCAACGTAATTGAGCGTGCGTTCGGTGTTTGGAAACAGAGATGGAAGATCATTGATCGAATGCCTGCTTATAATATGAGAGCGCAAACAGCTGTTGTCGTTGCCACAATGGGTATACACAACTTCCTGAGGAGAAACGGTCGGCTAGATGAGGGTTTTCGTAGAGCCGAAGAATTAGATGACGAGGACGTCGAGATAGATCTACCTGATGAAGCAGATGAAATTGTGGCCGAGCTAGATGCAATATCTGAAGAGGACATGTCGTGGCAGCAACTACGAGATTATTTGGCGCAGACATTACGTTAGTAGGTATAGAACGCGCCCAAATTGATAGAGACACATCAAGGAACTCGCTTTTAGTCATTAAGTTTGCCGATGTTTGTGACGTAATTTATAATTGCGCACGAATAGAATTCAATTTTTATTGTGTGAAAAAAAAAAAAACCTGTTTTCACGTGTAGATTGCTTCAGAAGGTTGGGGAAAATGAAATTTTCACCAGTGCATGTTTAACGTCTTTAATTCAACCACACTGTTCTACCTAACACATTAAAAGGGCAATAATGGAAATATCCATTAAAATTGATTCAGAATGCCCATTAATGCCTGACATGAAAATGATGGAAAGTCAACATGGTCCCACTGGCTAGGAAAACAATACTATAGAAGAAATTAAATTTTGAGAAAAAAAGGGGTTTCAAACAATAGCTTAATTACACCTTTATTTGCGCAAAACGTCATTTTTGTTCATTTCCATCCAACTTCTCTTTTAATTGAGGGTGTTTTCGTTTTATAACTATTTTCCTCTTTCTCCCTCATTCATTTTTTTCTCTCTTTAAAAAATAACCATTTGCGTGGTCAATTGGCAACTTGTGCACCTAATACGTTCAACACAAATTTGAATAAAGGGAAGGCTTCAATTCGGAAAAATAATAAAAGAAAATAAACTTGAAGTGTTGTAGTACCAATTGAAACAACCAAAAGAGAATGAGAAATAAGTTTACGGAGAAGAGGAAATTAGAAGCAAAAATGGCAGAAGAAGAACACAATAGAAGAAGGAGAAGAGGAATAGGGAAAATGAGAATATTTTAGCAACAAACTACAATTTATTTTATTCATTCATCAATAGTTTTGAAATTACATTATCAGGCCATATAAATAGAGAAACCAACAAACCTAGAAAGTAAGTGGGCTTAGGCCAAACCCAATAAGTCAAGTCCAATAATAGGAAACATAAAAAATAAAAATCCACAATTAACTAATTTCGATGGATGTCCGCATCAACTCTCCGAGGTGGAAGAAAAATCCGACCCTGTCGAGTGGATAAGTCATAAAAGGCTACAATCAATCGCCCACCATAAACTTCTTAAGAGGTTGAACAAGCTTCTTCTGACGTCTATAAAAGCATGTCAGTGGAAGTCTGAATCTAGTGTCCCCACCAATTCCCCCTGAATGGTGGAAGGATATATGGGCAAATGAAGTTCTTGTTGACTCCGATAGAGCTCCAATAAATCTATGTCAAGCTGCTGGAGCGTCTCTATG